GCTCCGCCCCAAAAAATTTATCTCGGTTGGCGAACTCCGCCTCGGGGTACGAACTGGTTCGGTGGCCATTTTCCCCCGTGCCACTTGGTCCGTGGCCATTTTCCGCCCGTGCCACATGGTCCGCAGCCATTTTCTGCCCGTGCCATGTGGTCCGCGGCCATTTTTCCGCCCATGCCACGTGGTCCGTGGCCATTTTCCGCCCGTGCCACATGGTCCGCAGCCATTTTCTGCCCGTGCCATGTGGTCCGCGGCCATTTTTCCGCCCATGCCACGTGGTCCGCGGCTGTTTTTCCAGCCCTGCCGCGTGGTCCGCGGCCGTTTTCGCACCGCGCCAGGCCAGGCCGTTTTCGCACCGGGCCATTTTCGCGCCGCGCCATTTTCGTGCCGCGCCGCACCCGGCTGTTTTTGCGCCTGACGCGTGGTTTGTGGACGCCAGAACGGATTAACAGTAATTACATTGAACCTTATGGGAAATTGCCTCGGGTTGCGACCAAATTCGGACGGAGGGTGGAACGGATTAACCGGATTTACATTGAATCCTATGGGGAAATTTCCTTCGGGTTACGACCAACTCGGGATATGCCCAGAGTCACGGAAGATTAAGTTCGTATCCCGAGGTACCACTGTACTTTGCTACCTTCATCATCCCTGAGGAGGCTTGGACTGAGCTCTTTCTCATGTCCGGTCACTTTTCCTTCTTGTTTTCCACCAGCATTGCTTCAGCGGGACCTTCACCTGGGTTTGGCAGGCAGGGAGAGGCTGCTCAAGGTGATCTTGTTGAGCCCCTCGTTGCCTCTGTCTTCCAATGGTCAAGAAGGCAATCGAGAGAAGTGCTCTCCAGATCACTGGGAAGCTCGGCAAGTGCTGCCAGGAAACCTGCTGGATCAATCAGATGTTTGGGGTGGACCATCTTAATAAGCCCTTCTCCCTTTAGTGAAACTCATCATCACAAGGAAGTTGTCTGTCCATGAGCACAGACTGAAGGGAATGATCCCCAGAGCCAGATCACAACACAAAATGTTCCCAGGTGAATAGTAAACAAAGGCCAGCCTAGTTACCCACAGCATTGCTTCCAGA